TTTTTGTCTTTAGTGTTTTCTTTGACTGACGAATCTATTTTCTCTATCATGTCACTCTTAAAATAGTGCCAGTGGTGATTTTGTTTGAAGATTTCTATATAGTTGAAAGATAATTTTTCTAAGAAGTTCTTTAATTTAAAACTGAGAAATGTTTAAATTATTGAATTAAATTAAAAAAAAATGAATGTAGACTGTAACACAATCTAGACATTCTTGGACAAAATGCTGTGTCCTTTTGAGCGGTATTCATCTCTGACAGATAGGCCGGGCTTATTATTGAAAGACATTTGTTATTAACACCTTGGGTCGACTTATTTCTTGTGGATAAGTTCTAGTTGTGACAGTGTTCACAGCTGGTTTGATACAGTGTAAATTAGGTGGTTTGTGGAGTTTAAGAAGTAGAGTCTCATTCTTGATCGGGTGACATTGGGCAGTAAGTACCTCAGTAAGTAAGTAAGTGTGTGTGTGCGCGCGCGCGCGCACATGCGGAGGTGCACATGTACATGTGTTTTACTCCACTATGGATAATCTTGCTGTTCCTCTTCCCCCTCCATCCCCCCTTCTGTCTTCTCTGCAGCTGGCAATGCTGCCCTTCAGTGGTACTGGGGATCATATCCAGGAGCTCACATGCCAAGCAGAAATGTTTATGTTTACATAAAAATGGTGATATGGGATGCTTTGGTTCTCTCTCTTCTTTTAATCTCATTTCACCATTAAATGTAGCATCTACATCTTGAAAACCTTTTGTCAGATTTGAGTAAATTCCCTTTTGTTTTTAAATGTCTTATTTTTCATTATGAGATAATGTTGAATACTGTCTAATGGATATTTAATGTCTCACTCTCATTATTGTGTTTATGTGGTAAATCAACCCCCCCCCCCATTGTCTTAATTTTACAGACTACAAGTTCAAAAGATGTTGTCAAGGCATATTTTCTTGGAAGGTCCTGAGGGAGCATTTGTCCAGATGACACGTCTCCTAGATTCTTCTCATTCTTTGGCTTGTGATAGCACAGCTCCTGTCTTAGTGTGGTTTGATTCTGTGCATAGTCACATAGCCCACCCTAATAACCTTATACTCATCTACAGTTTAAGCAGTAACATTATAGTACCACAGTCTCACTAATTTTAAGGAAAAATCATCAGTTAGGCACATTTTAAGGAAAAACCATCAGTTAGGATTTCTGTGCACATATTATGAAAGATGAAATTTAAATGAAAATTAGTGATTAAACTTGAACCACAAGGAAAAAAAGGTGTTACCGTTGTTAGTCTCCATTGTCACTTTAGCTCTAGAATCACCTGAACTGTGGGCATCTGGGATGTGCTGGTGGGTGGGTTATCTTGATTAGGTGAATGAGGCAGAAAGACCCACCCCCTGTGAGTCACCCCATTCTCTGGGCTGGGTCCTTGTCTCATAAAGGAAAAAGTGTTCATCATTGTTTTCTGATTGTGGATGCAGTGTGACCAGCCACATCAACCTCCTGCTGCCTTAACCTCCCATGGTAATGGACTCTACTCTTTTTTTTTTTTTTTTTTTTTGGTTTTTCCGAGACAAAGTCTCTCTGTGTAGCTTTGCGCCTTTCCTGGAACTCACTTGGTAGCCCAGGCTGGCCTTGAACTCACAGAGATCCTCCTGGCTCTGCCTCCCGAGTGCTGGGATTAAAGGCGTGCACCACTACCGCCCGGCTTGGACTCTACTCTTGAACTGTGCCTCAAAACAAACCCTTTCTCCCCCAAGTTGATATTGTCAAAGAATATTTTATCACAGCAGCTGAAAAATTAACTCCTCAGATGCAAATTAAACCCATCCAAAAAGTCGAAGAGATGATATAGAGGAGAAACCAGCAAAAGCAGATGCAAACCAGAAGCATTAATAAGGATAACAGTTTATTCTTTGGTAAACAGAGTTGATAGGACTCTAACACAATTGACCAAAAAAGAGGACATACTGCAATATGTGTACTTTTTATCCTTTTATATTTATTGAGGTATAATTATAACATACAATTCATCCATACAAATGTACAATTAGTGGGTTTTCAGTAGGCTCACAGAGTTGTGTACCTATCACCACAATGAATGTTAGAACATTTTTACTTTCCATAGAAGAATCCTGTACTCTTCAGCATCCATTACCCACTTTCTCCAAACCCTACAAACCAAGCTGGAGAAACGGCCCAGTGGTTAAGTGCACTCGCTGCTTTTGAAGATGACTTGGGTTTGGTTCCCAGCACCCATTTTCTGTATGTGCTTTTTTCATGCTCCTGAAACATATCTGGATTTTTTTTTTCTCCCTCCAAGAGTGGGTTTCTGTGTATACCTGACAGTCCTGCTGTCCTGGATCTCTCTCTATAGGCCAGGCTGGCCTCAAACTCAGAGATCTCCTGCCTCTGCCTCCCAAGTGCTGGAATTAAAGGCGTGAGCTGCCACCACCCAGCTACTTCTCTGGATTTTTTTATTCTGTATTGAGAATAAAAACTAGCTCCTTTCCCTCTTCATTTTCCTAGCAACTGATATTCTGGTGTGCATGGCGTCGTCTCTCAATTTTATGTTATGTCAATCTAGTAAATATGAAAACTAAGGCATAGCAAGGATTACGTTTTTTATTTATCATTGTTTCAAATTTATATGAGCTAAATTGTTCACTTGAATTTTTCAGTAAACTTGTAATTAAATGACTTGTCTCAATTATTAAAATCTTTTCTTTCTTTTTCTTTGAAGATTCAAAATGGATAGTATAGAAGAACCTCAGAAGAAAGTCTTCAAGGCTCGAAAAACAATGAGAGTGAGTGATCGTCAGCAGCTCGAAGCAGTGTACAAAGTCAAAGAAGAGCTGCTGAAAACCGACGTGAAGCTTTTGAACGGGAACCATGAGAACGGAGATTTGGAGCCTGCTTCACCCTTAGAAAGTGCAGAGTGTAGTCCAGAGAGAGAAGAAGTGAATGGGATCGAAGGGATTTGTTCTGAGTCTGAAGAAAGTAAAACAGAAGTGAAAGAAACACCTTGTATTCCCAGTGTTAGTGTGAAAAACAAGCAAGAAGAGGATTCAAATAGTGAGTCTTTGTTTCCTAGTATAACTTCTGGGCTTGCTTCTACACTAACCACTGAACCAACCTCTGGTAGCCCAGCCTCTGGTAGCCCAGCCTCTGGAGAGCTGCCTGCAGGAGAGCTGCCTGCAGGAGAGCTGCCTGCTGGAGTACCAGCCACTGGTGACTCTCCCTGTGAGGAGTCCCCCTCGAGTGATCCCTCCTCCCGTGATCCCACCTCTGCAGACACTGCTTCTGAAGAACCTGCCTCTGATGATCTTGCCTCTGGTGGTTCCACCTCTGGTGAACCACTGTCTGGTGCACCACTGTCTGGTGCACCACTGTCTGGTGAACCACTGTCTGGTGAACCAGTTTCAGATGAATCAGTTGCTGGTGCAGTGGCATCTTGTGAACTGGCCTCTGGGGAACCCTCTTCTGATGATTGTGCTCCCTCTGGTGATTTGCCTTCCGATGACCTGCCTTCTCGTGACGAATCCTCTGGTGGTCCTGCCTGTAGCAGACTGGCTTCTGGTGAGCTGGCTCCCGGTGAGCTGACTGCAGAATCAGCCGCTGATACTTTTAAACCAAGTGCTGTGCCAGTTTGTGAGCCGATTCCTGAAACTGGCAAGGCAGAGCAGAGTAGCAATAACAATGATGATTGTTCAGAAAAAAATGAAGACAGTGAAAACTTAGACCAAATTCAGAGTAAAGACTCACTTGATGAGGAAGATAAAACTAACAGTAATGTTAGTGAGAAGGAAGAAACTCTAGAAACACATAGTGCAATTATTTGTTCTGATCTACCTCCAGAAAACACGAAGAAGGTAGAGGAAGAGCCCATTGCTGAGCTTGCTCTTGGAGAAGAGGCCATCTCCAGCAGTATGGAAGTTGACCAAAGTGAAAAGGATGATGGGGAAAGTCCTGCAGAAGTTGTAGAAGTCCGTGAAAATGCTACAGAAGACAAGAGGGAGACTGCCTTAGATAACACGGACTCTATGGAGACGGAAGAGATCATCCCTATTCTGGAAAAACTTGCGCCCGCTGAGGATGAACTCACATGCTTTTCAAAAACGTCTCTCCTTCCAGTTGAGACAAGTCAAGATTTGGAAGAGAAAATGGAGTGTTCTTTTGGCTCGCCATCAAAACAAGAAAGTAGTGAGAATTTGCCAAAAGAAGCCTTTTTGGTCCTCTCTGATGAAGAGGATATTTCATGTGGAAAAGATGAGTCCGAGTCCGAAGTTTTATCACAAAACAAGCCGAGCTCTCCAGGTTAGCTGATTAAGGATTTTATTTGCTTTCATAAACTGTTTAATAGAACCTGCTCATTTAATGTTGATATCGGTGATCCTTGAATATCTTATTATAGAAATTCAGCTAGGTGTGATGGTATGAGGGGAGAAGAGGGAGGACCAAGGAATTCAAGGTTAACCATGGCTACGTAAGTAGTTAGAAGCTAGCCCAGGCTGCATGAGACCCTATCAAAAGACAAGTAGAAAAAAATATTACATTTATAAAAATAGAAGAACAAGTGTGTACTAGTACATCTGGAGACAAGCTGTTGTGTATTGCTAAATGATAAATAATAAGTTATAGTCTAAGGAGGCTAGACTAGTATAGTATCTTTTTCTGGGAAAGTTAAGACACTAGTGGAGGGATTGCATCCCACCTTTTGTCTTTCCTGTTTACTTACTGTCTATCTTCAGTATGTGTTTCAGCACAGACATTTTTAACTACTAGTCCATCCTCACTTTCAGAGCTAGACCTCCAGCCACATTTACAAAGTTAGCACCTTGTTCTCCTAGTAAGTCTTCAGCTCACTTGAATTTGGATTTCCACCTTGCTAGACCCCCGTCCTGTCTGTTATCAAACATCACGTGGAACAGGGTTCTCAACCTTCCTAATGCTGTGGCCCTTTAATACAGTTCCTCACGTTCCGTTGACCCCCAATCAAACTTATTTTCATTGTTACTTCATTACTGTAATTTTGCTACTGTTATTAATCCTAATGTAAATGTCTGTGTTTTCTGATGGTCTTCCCAACCCCTGTGAAAGGTCATCCAAGTCCCCAGAGGGGTTATACCCTATAGGTTGAGAACAGATGATGTGGAAGATAGTATTTGTACCTTTTTATTGGTGTAAAGCTTTGAAAATGTCTGGAGAACTTAGATTATCTGCAGGCTACATTCTCCTGATGTATTTTATTTGTAAGATTGAAAATCTATGTTTATTGGCCTTTTGTATTTGCTTATATATGAATTACCTGTTACTTTCTCTATTTTTTTTTCTAATGGGTATATTGTTTTCAAATAGCCTGTAGGACTTTGTTTTGTTTTAAATGTCCTTAAAGATTCGATCCAAAGCTAAAGGGGTTGGAAGACTATGACCTGTGGTCCATCTGAGCTTTGTACAGTTCAGCTGGGACAGAGGCAAGTCTGTTTGTTTACATGTTGTTGCAGTATTATTATTCCTGCCCAGGGTGGCAGTAGTGCTGTGTGAGACCCTGTACTCTTTGGTCATTAACTATTAAAGGTAATGCCTGTCAAGAAGATAGTAAATGCTTGATTTGAGCTCTTTCTCGAAGGTTTTGGGGTTACCAGAACTATAAGATCTGGTTATCTACATTCAGTGATCTTACTGTCGGTGTTGACAGACTAGAGTCAAGTTCATGGAAGATAGAATTGTGAAAACTTAGCAAATTAGTGAGAAGGCTGTATTTGAGAAGACCAGAGGTATCAGAACAAGCTCACCAGGCAGAAGGATAGGGTCTATACAAGTACAGGTGAACTAGGAAGGGCTTATGTTTGGATGGACTTTAGAAACCCCTGACACTGCCTGGAATAATACATGAATTGTTTCTGTACAAGGGCCTTTGATTCTTATTTTGTGTTGAAAGAGGTTTCCTTGGGGCTAGAGAGATGGATGGCTTAATGCTGAATATTCATTTGCTGCCCTTGAAGAGGACCAAAGCTGGGTTCCCAGCACCCACATGGTAGCTCATAACTACCTGCTATAGAGATTCAGAACTTGTTTCTGGCTCTAGGTGCCTACACGCATGTGCATGTAGACACACGCATGCACGCATGCATACATATGCACTTTTCTAAATCTTCCCAAAGGTCAATTTGCTCAAATCCCAAGAATGTTTGAATAAAAGTTAAAGAAATATGGTCTCTGCTTCTTAGTAAGAATCTGTTCACATTTTTTCTTAACAGAGTTCTATGTAAAACTTTAGCGTACACTAATCCTTTAATCTGTTCTAAATCTCAATGCATGTCTTAAGTGCCATGAATCTAGTAGGCAGATCTGAAAAGTGGTCATTCGGCAT